AGAGGCAGAGCAGGTGAGCAAAGGACCTGCCAAGATGAGGGGAAAGCAGAGGGCAACATACCCTGTGAGCAAAAGGGTGTGGTGAGTGGGTAATGTGTTATGTATGAGTTGATTCTTGATTGCCTTCCTCCTGCCATTAGAATGTGGCTCCCTGATGGCAGCCTATCATCTTCACAGCGGTGTGCCCAGTGCCTGGGTCACTACAATGTCGTATCTCAGTAAAAATGGTGAATGGACAAGTGGATAAATGCACAAATAATGGAAAAGTAAGGTATCTCTCACATACCCTTTCTGCAAAAGACAGCTAATGGTGAATTTACAGCACATGGTCAAGAGTTATTATGTCTTATATCAATGGTTTGACATCACCACCAAATAGCCCCAGAACTCTCTTTCTAATTGAATTTTTATATAGAATAAGGTGGTAATTCATTAGTATAAATATATTGTTAGTTCATTTTTATAGTATATACTTATTATTAAAGACATCATTAGTACTGATGAGACTATTTTGATGAACCTAAAACTCTGAAATTAGATTTTTCCTGACAATTCTAGTTTTATATCTATGTGCCCTGTGAATTTTTCTTTTTATTCTTTGGACAGTATTGAGAATACTCTGATTTTCAAAGTTGAAAACCTGTTGCTATTATAACTATTAACATCTTGCCTTGAAATTGTCTTCAATTAAACTGAATCTGAAACTTACACAGAAGAGTTGGAAAATTTCAAAGTTTGCTCATGAGCACTATCTACCAACTTTTCAAATTTCTTACTATCTTAGCAATTGACAGTTAGACAAGGAGAACTCAACTAACCTGAGTGCTACACCAACTTACAAAGCAACAATGGCATCTCACCATATGCATTCACATTTTATCTGACAATGAACTTTTAGGCCAAGATGAGAAAATGGATGGAGCAGATTTACCTGGGCTTTGCCTGGCATTGAATTACATATACACCTGTGTACTTCAATAGTATACGTGCTGGTACATTTTGGTCAGACAGAACATGAATAGGCCTGTTTTTTTAGACACTACAACCTAGTTAATCAATAAGACATATGTAAAAAATTTAAAGTATATGAAAGTGGTTACAAAGGAAGCCTTATCTTGAGATCTACACCCCAACAACCTAACCCAGCAGAATATAAATATTAGCAGCTAACATTTCATGGATACTTATTTCCTAGGCATTCTGCTAAGCACTTTTCGTATATTAATTAATTAGACCTTCAAAACTACCATTTGAGGTAGGAACTATTATCATCTTCATTTTGCAAATGAGGAAACTGAGAGACAGAGAGAATAGTTATATTCAAGGATTCCATGCATCAGACATTAAGAAAACTACTGTTCCAGAAAGCTCTTTGCTGGCTTGACTCTGAATTCTTTGCCTAAATACTCTTTAGTTATATAAGCTGAATTATAAATGGTAGGTTTTAGAAACGCCACATTCAACCCAGAAGCAGAAACTGGATTCTGGAAATTCATTTAGGTTGATGATAAAATTAAGGCTTAATTATCAAAATACCTGGAAATTCCAAGGCAGTCTGTGTCCTTCCTCCAGGCCTGGGGAATGGAAGACTGACCATGGTAGGGAGACTTTTCTCACTGAGGATGATCCTCAGACAGCTAGAATGGGATGAGGCTCAGTTGAAGACCAGCCCTAGGGAGAGGCTTGATCTCAGTAAAACTGTGTGTGCAAGGACCACTGTGCTTTGATGAAAGGGACCAATAATGATCACCAACACCTTTACATCTCTAAAGAAATTATAAGGAAGATAAGATAAAATGGTTGAAATACCCAAGATTAAACGGGGTAACGTATTTTTCAATAAGCATAGGGTAAAATAGGAACAGCCACGAGACTAAAAATAAATATGTTTCAATTTGCTAAAAGAATGTACTAAAAAGATGCTAGGATGAAAACTCAGAGCCGAAAGATGAGCCTCGCACCTAAGGTCAAAGAGACAGTAGCACAGTTCCCCTCCTGAGGCTTAGGGGGGTTGGATCGCTGTCCACCAATACCTCTGGGATTCCTGTAGACTGGAGCCTTCACATCTTTATATCTATATATTTATTTAAAAATGCTTTTGTAGTATTGCTAGGTCCTATCCTAAGCACTTTATAAATACTAACTCATTTAATCATCCAGACAACATTATGAAGTAGGTACTAATATTATCATTCCCATTTATAGATATAGAAGGTGAGGCACAGGAGGAAAAGTAATTTGCCCAAGGTCCTAGAACTAGTAAATGAGAACTGAACTCAGATAGACTGGCTCTAAACTCCTCATTCTTAGCCGCCATACTCTGTGTAAAGAGGATTTGGGGAGTAGGAATCTGGTCAGTGGTGGTTTTCACATACTTCTAACGTGTCACCAGAGACCGCAAAATTTTCAAAACAAAATATCAAAGTCTTGATGGGCTCCAGTTTGAGAATAATGAAATTAAACACTCCATAAAATGAACATCATAGCTTTTGGAGTCTTAAATCACTAAGTAGTCTTTGTTAAGGAAAAGTATGTATGTATACACACACACATCTACATATATACATATATAATTTACAGTTATATGTAAATAATAAACAAAACAAAAACTATGAATGGTTTCTTCAACTGCAAATTTGCTCATGAGCAGAAAACCGGAAACAAAACCTTAGATCCCATGGGTCAGCTTGTATCCCATTCTTTCTTGGTCTGGCTAACCATGGTTTTCAAAGCTCTCATTAGTACAATGACGGCAGTGACCTTGAGTGAAGGAAGCACCATTGCCTAGGCATGTGACCACAGTTAGCCTTTCCTGAACAGTGTAGGCTAGCAAGGTAGAATGGAGTTGCAAGTCAAAGATATTGTAATAGGAAAAGATGAGCTTTTAAAATACGGTCTAATTCACAACCAAAAGAATCATTAATTCAATATTGTTTTGTCGTTCTAGTTTGCATTCATTATATATTATACAGTTGGCAGCTCCTTTAAACCATTCAGAGACATACACATTCAAATTAATGTTTGCTGGAAAACTGTATTCTTTCCAGATGAGATGGCAAAGTTTCTTTTAATTTCTTGGCTGGGGCCTCAGTTTGAAGAAATAAGTCAGAAATATCAAGGCAGCCAGTAGGTCTGATGGGAATTCTCATATATTTAGAGAAAGGCTGTTTGACCACTGAGTCATAGGTGGGAAAAAGACGTCCATTATACAAACACAGGGGCTCATCCATCGTGTGTTTATTAAGTGCCTACTGTTTGCCAGCACTCAGACACAATGATGCATCACAGTCACACGTTCCTGCCTTTGCGGAACTTACGGACCCATCAAGGAGACAGATGGATGAACAGTCAGGGTAGTGGGTGTCTAATTACAAATGGAGACAAATGGTCTAAAGAAAACAATTTTTTGAAAGTGTATAAGTAAAGAAGCTGGCCTAGATTTGAGGCTGTGGGTGAGGACAGCCTGGGATGGATGGTCTAAGAAGCAGAGGGAGGAACATTCCATACAGAGGAAAACAAGAATAAAGAAAAATCACATGTGTGCACGTATAAAGGTTCTGTGGTTGAGTGAGCACAGCATCTTCAAGATCTGAAGGAGTGCCCATATGGATAGTGTCCTGGGGAGAGGTGGGGGAAAGTGGTGGAAAATTAGTCTGAAAAAGTAGGCAGGGGGCAGGCCACATGGGGCCTTGTAGAATTCATTAAAGCCGGGGATTTTATCCTGAGATCCATGGGAAGGCATAGTTGTGGAAAATCATGACCAAATGCATTCAAGGAACTAGGCTTTCCACTGACATAAAAGGCCACGGCAGCTGGTCACTTGGGTGTTTTGTTTTTGTTTTAAGGTCATTGAAATTTATTTATCTATCTATTTATTTATTCGTTTTATTTCCAGCTTTATTGAAGTATGATTATATGTATTTAGGTTATATAACAAGATTTTTTTAAGGTGTGCAACGTGGTGATTTAGTATATGTATGCATTGTGAAACGATTGCCACAATCAAGTTAATTAACACATCTATCACCTCACATTTAATCTAGCCTTTAAAAGTCAAGCAAAACACAAATCTACCGAAATGTATGGGGGCTCTGGGTCACGACAGGGCACTTCATAAATGCAACTGGACCAAGGCCAGTTGTCTGTAATTTTCCCCTTACTGCTCTTCCAATACCCCATACCCTTCAACCTTCATCTTTTCAATTTAGGCAAGGCAGTGACTTAACACATGAACAGTAAGTGAGCAGTTGCTCTACTGATTTCTCAAGAAAGCAAAAGGAGACAAGGACAGCTATGGGGACACCATCCAAACTACAAATAACACAATGTCAGAATGAGGTTTTGTATCCTATTAGCAATTTGTCGATGTAAAGAGACTGGACAGGCCAACATCACTAGATCTTGGTCCCTTGCATTTGGTGTCCTGTAAATCAGAATTAAGCAAGAAGAACTTACTTTCCAGGGAAACTCAATGCACTACTTTGTAGGTATGGTGATGCTGAATTCTTTCAAAAACAATACAAAAAGAGACATATATTGACATAATGACTTTTCAAATAAGGTCCCGCAGTAACTGTGTAGCAAGAGATCATGTAGTGTTAACCATTTTGTGTATGTATGGGGGATAAAAAATAACTACCCGTCACTCAAGATTACACATTTCTATGATCTTCATGTCTTTACATTGAGCTGCCATTCTGATTAAAGGTACCTCAAATCCGATTAAAGGTCTACCCTGAACTTCTATGTAGGAGACTTCTCCAGGGCAAGCATGCACATGGATTCACCTAATGGCATTCAATCAATAAATATATGCATAAACTCTCCAATAAATGTGCAGAGTCATTCTGTCTTCCTTTTTTTTTTTTTTAATCAGAAGGCTCTGGAGGTTGCTATGCTTTCTCTCCTAGCCATAGTCCTTCTTGACATTGTGTTAAGTGTTCAGCTTCCCTCTGCAGTCATTTTATTTGTAATAGTGTCTTGTGTGTTGTGTCTCCTAGCTCTACATACAAACTACCACGCTTACAATCTCCATGAACCTAAGTGCATCTGTGGCGCTGGGGATGCTATACATGCCGAAAGTGTACATCATCATTTTCCACCCTGAACTCAATGTCCAGAAACGGAAGCGAAGCTTCAAGGCGGTAGTCACAGCAGCCACCATGTCATCACGGCTGTCACACAAACCCAGTGACAGACCCAACGGAGAGGCAAAGACAGAACTCTGTGAAAACATAGACCCAAACAGTAAGTAACTCTCCTTTCCTTTCATCTTCCCATCATGTATCAGGAAACTCAAGGAGATGCGGTGTGAGTTTGCCTTTCTTTGGAGACATACCATGACCATTAGTGTCTCAGGGACTGGGTTGCCTTGGTGGATGCTAACTTTTGCTCTTAAGAGTTTGCCTCATTCTTGCCACCATTTTCCTGTTGCTCTCAGTTGGAAAGAAGCTTTTAGAGGTTCTGCTTCAGAAGTGTGAAGTCTCCCCTTCCCTCACTTCTTGTCCTTTGGCACCAAACCCCCTAACTGACATAAACACAGCTGTCGGGTTGTGAGCCACCTTTCTTGCTCCCTTCCTGTTAGGGGAATGACTTCTTGTTAAGGAAACTTCAACACCTGATTGAACTGTAGCAGTAGAAATGAAATTGGAATATTTAAAAACTTTGGAAGCATAACTTCTTTCTGCTGCAACATGGATGTGGAGAAAGTTATGATTCTTTACTAAGCAAGCCTTCTAGAAACAAAAACACATAAAATATTGAATAAAGCTGGCAAACTTTCATCCAAGTATACAGGCCCAGATACCTGTATGCTAATGGCATCCCACATGGGAAAAACATCTACCACACCACTGCAGAAGAGTTTCATTCCATGAAATACAAAATCTTAAGGGTGGGATTAAGGATGAAATGTCAGATTTGATATGCCACATGGCATATCAGCAACCCCTGGGTAGACTTTAGTCACACCTTCAATGACCCCAAAGAAGATGGGCATATATACACCACTTTGTTAAAAAAAAAAAAAAAAGCCGTTTAACCAGAAGTTAAATGCCTAGAATTCCAATTGCTGGTTTTACCAACACGATGGTGGTAAGAGTGAATTTCAGATTAAAAATGTGACTTCTAGGGTTTCTTTTCCAGGAATATTTTGACCAGTTCCATATAGAATGAGGCAGATTGAAGTGTAAAGGAGGATTTGGGTTGTCCATTAAGTCATTCAAGGCATATTATTTTTCAGTGATGAGCTGATTTTGTTGTAACCAAAAGCTTATGCCAAGCAGAAAGAAGTCCCTATTCTAAATACTCTGAGGTAATGCTTTATGCTTTGCAAGTAAGAGAGAGATCTTCAAAAACCAGGAGGCAAATGAGTTCGGTCCTGACAAATACTGTGCAAGGATCCATGATCTTAGCCCATCTCCATTTCTAAATGCTTGAGTGAATATTGTGAAACACTTTGAGAATATGTAGAAAAGCTAACAGGGGCTCATTAACAACATCGTGGGCTTCACCCTGACTTTTCAATAGAAGAGATTCTGGGACAAGGTGAGTGGAAGAAGGATTACTCTGAAAGAAAGGAGAAACAGAAGGGATGTATAGGGTCTGTTCTTGTGTCTTCAGAACAGAAAGTCAATGAGAGGAGGGGAAGTGGATGACGAATTGCTATGGTATTCAGTGTGATGTAGGAAGAGGCTTTGGGTTCAGACAGACCTGGGTTCAAATCCAAGCCACTCCACTTACCAGCTGTGTGGCTTTAGTATATGTGCTGCTGAAGCGAGCACACCAGCTGTGTGGCTTTGAGAGTCACTGAGCTTTTCTAAAGCTCAGCGTTTTCATGTATAAAGTGGAGATAATATCTATATAATAAGATAAGTGTGTCATTAATTGTTATGCATCTAGAAAATTGTATGTCAATTAAATGTTAATTTCCTTCCATTCCTGAAGAGGCAAAAGACTTTGCCTAAAAGTACATTTCATTGTGATTGGCTCCATAGGTATGATGGTACAGTTAAAGGCATACTGAACACCATGAGGCAGATAGAACTGATTCACAAAAAGAAATATTTCCATGCACATATTTATGCATCTATTTATATGTGTACCTGTATTGATAAATATACCGGCATAGTTGCACTTCTATAGCATTTTACTCTGGGGCCCCTTGTCAGATTTGCATTTCACAAAATTGTTAACCTAGAGGCATCCTAATAACAGTTTAACATTTCTCTCTGTACACACACACACACACACACACACACACACACAAATTTAACTAGATATGCACCAAATCCGTAAGTAGAAAATAAGGTCAAAAGTCTATAGGTACTAAAAAAAAAAAAACAAATTAGAAGTTTTGAATTTGGACAATTACATCAATACTATGCTACTTAAAAGTAATTAGCTTTCAAACAACATTTCTTTTAACTTTTAATGTTTAGGTTCTATCCTTGTTGAGGCTGTTTGGGGCATGATAATGGCTGTTAAAATACTAACGCTAACGCTAACGCTAAAATACTAACTAAAATACTAACGCTAACACTAATAATAATACACCAGCTATCCTTTGAAATAGGCGTTATGCTGAATGCTTTGTGTGGAAGATCTCTCTTACTCCTCACAATAACTCTGTAGAATGGGGATTATTATTCTCATTTTACTGAAGAAACCTAGGCTTAGCGAGATTAAGTGACATTGCCAAAATCGCACATTTAGTTAGCAGCAGAAGTTGGACTGAAACCCAGGTCTGACTCCTAAATCCCTGCTCGTCACTCTTTGCTTCTGTTTCTTAGAACATGAGAGGCACGTTGTAATTCCAACACAGAAATTACTCTTTGGGCTTCTTCATTTGCTAATACAGCTTGCATATAAAGAATATAAGGATGTGTGGTGGCAGACTCTTTAGTTAAATGTGCTATGAAATGTATTATTGCTTGTTGGGTTGTCTACAAGACAGGAATAACCTGGACTCTAAGAAGGCTGCCCAGGTAGAGGCCTCATCTTACTAACTCAAAAGTCCAAGTATCTTATTACTTGGTCAATCATAATTATTCCGTTTGGAATGCATTTGGTGCCTTCCTCTTGAAAAAGTTTTATTGGGGTTTGTCATTGTTGTTTTGGTGTCTACACAGAGCAAAGATAAACAGTTCAGGAAAAATAAAATCAAATATAGCCTTTGTCTCAAAAACAGTCCAAAAGATTTTTAAAAATTGTTTTAGTTCTTTTGGTTTTGTGTAGACACTCCCTAAAACACCATAAATAATTTGAATAGATAATTGCTGAACCATAGGCGGAGATTCACGTACCTCCAAACATTGGGGTTTCTGATGACCTGGCTCTCAGAGTTCCCAAAAGACCTTATCTGTCCAATAGAACTTTCTGCAATGATGGAAATGTCCAGCACAGTAACCACTAGCCACATGTGGCTATTCAGCACTTGAAATATAGCTACTTAACTGAGGAAATACACTTATAACTTTACTCCATTTTAAATAATTTAAATATAAATAGCCATCTGTAGCTGTGGCTACTCTATTGGACAGCACAGCTCTAGAAATTAATATATTAATATATATTTATATTAATAGCAATGATTTCATATTAGGACATTCAGTCTGAGCCCATATTGGAAATAACTCCCAAAGTTTTAGCAATGATGCTGATCTGGGACAAAGTCAACCTGAAGGAATGAAACATTTAAGATGAGACAAAAATGCAAACAAGTTGTTATTTAAAATGATCCAAAAGAAGTCACTAATATAGAAATAGTGATATCATAGATAGCAATTATATTTGGAAAACTTGTCTGTAGCAATGCAAAAATTGTATGAGTGGGGGCCGCCTGGTGGCGCAGCGGTTAAGTGCACGCACTCTGCTGTGGCGGCCTGGGGTTCGCAGATTCGGATCCCGGGAGAGCACCGACACACCGCTTGTTAAGCCATGCTGTGGCGACGTCCCATATAAAGTAGAGGAAGATGGGCATGGATGTTAGCCCAGGGCCAGTCTTCCTCAAGAAAAAAGGGGAGGATTGGCATCGGATGTTAGCTCAGGGCCAGTCCTCCTCACAAAAAAAAAAATTGTATGAAAGTATGAAAGAGCAGTAGTAAAAAACTCAATTAATGAAAATTGACAAAAAGACTGTTCTGATGGGAGGAAACATTATTAATATACACTATTTAATACCAAATATAGCTCAAGAGATCTCAAATTTCTGAACTTTGGTAACAGAGACAAATTATTTGCTGAAATTAAGCTAGCTGGTTAAAAATAAACAAACAGAAGCACAGACCATGCACTTGGAAAGAACGTTTCTTATCAAAGGGGAAATTGCATGCACTGTTCTCTGCGGGAGGGTATCTGAGAGGAAGTGAAGTTTATAGTATGAGCTACAAAGTAAATAATGAAACAGAAATGTCCCCTTATTCACTGTTGCTCTAAACACTCACTCTCGATGTACTTCAATCTTCAGTGTTTTCATTTTTAGCAGCTCTGTTCCATCATTGCAGTTTGCCATCTGCTGCATGCACGCTTCTCCTCATCCAACTCCACACTGCAACTACATGTCTACATAAAAACGAATTTGCTTGTTGGCTTAGTATGGGAAGAAATTAAAACTGCCCCAGCATTACCTGATCTTTCCCCAAGAAGTTCACTTTTCCTCTTAGGTTGCTTCTTCAGTTAAAATTCCATTGTTTGAAAGAAAAACTTCTTTCTGTATGGAACAAACAAAAAGTAAATCTTCTTAATATTTTATCATATCTGTGCACTACTAACATGTTAGATGTTCAGAGTTGGGCCAATGCTTGTTGCTTTCTGTACTCAGACTGAAAAACAGCAGGGGGTATCGAGGTGTAGCTCGGTTACTTAATGAAGTTTTATTTATACAAACAAGATTTCTGTTGCTAGAGGATCCGAAGAGCCTGACGTAATTTGGATAGCTTTAGATCTGGCCACGATGATGCCTTCTCAACAGTTTTTTCTAAGAAGGGCACCTCAAGCTCTTCTCGCACCTGTGTCCTGAATTTGGCATGTTTTCCTGAACTTTCTATTGTTGACTTGACAGATGTATGTTCATGGAAAACATGTAGATGCCAGATAAACAGGAGGATTTGGTTGTGCTTGGGGCCTGGCTTACTGATGGCCACCAGGACCCTTTTCCAGTTGGATGGATAATATTAACTGAGGCAGCATGGCTTTTAGGGGATGTGTGGGTAAGAACTGCTGCCTTGGACTGGTCAGAACCAGAAGATGCTCTGTGAATTATCCTCTGGTCAGATGCTCTCCTTATAAAGGCTCACAGTACGTAATGATGAGCATCCCTAAGCTACCTTTGTCCTAAACTACCATCCATTTTCTAAGCCAATGTCCCCACAGTGCAGAGAAACTCCTCAAAAACCTGGACTGCTTACAGAAAGTTTACTCTGGAAGGTCAGTAGCAACTAGAGATGTCAGGGAGGTGGACAGCTTGGGACACATCCCTTCTTTGAGGTGGGAATGCATGACTGTTAAACTGACCCTGAGATAGAGGCTTATACTTACACTACATAAAAGACTAGTTTAAGCCAATGAGCATATTGTATGGTGAAATACGCTTTAGAAGAACAATAATTTGCACCTAAAACAGAAAATCTAAAATGGGATATTTTAAATATAAGTTTATATTCTGATGCTATTTTTCTTTTACTACCATTTTTGCATCTACTGTAAGGAAAATATGTAAATAAAAACTTGTGCTGTTCTCAGAGAAGGCAATTAGTACCTAAAATAGTAGAACTGCCAATATAAAGAGGTATTTCATTAAAAAAAGAAAACTCAAACTGCTGGAAAATGGACGTGGGTATCAAATTCTACACAAGTAACAATGCCTAGAAAATTCTGAAACACCCTCCCGTGCTGTGTTAATTTGTTGTGGTTTTTGTTTTGTTTTGTTTTGCTTCTTCATTTGTTTGGATCCCTAACATTTTGAACATTATGTTGTTTGTTTCATCCTTCTGGACTCACCTCGCAGGCTGGTCAGCATGACTGGACTAGGCTGAGAAAAAAAGGGATGGGATGGCAATAGGAAGAAAAGAATGCTCTGACCAGATAGATAAATTACTTTGGGGCTGGTTCCCTCAACCACTCCAGCTCAAGCAAGTAAAACTCAACTGCCTTAAACCAAGAGGCACCAGTACTCCCATGTTCAGAGGTACCTGAATTGTGGTGAACTGGTCTACCAAACACTATTAAACCCACTGAAAGAGTGGGCATATTGTCTATGGTCTCTATCGCAGCCTCTTCTCCAAAAGGAAAAAGAAAGAATAAAAAGGAATATTTGTGTGCACAGTTATTTTATACATACCTATATATTTACTTTTCCTGTAGACTGTATACCACCAGTAAGAAAGAGTGTACAAAAGTCTGTAACTTGGTACACTATCCCACCAACAGTATAGCTTTTGCCTGCTTTCCAAAAGGTAAGAAACCATCTAATTTTTATTTACTTGTGTGTTGTCTCCACTGAGAGTTAGAAATGTTTTCATGAAAACTGTGCATGATTACCTGTAAATCTATTTATATGAAGAAATGCATTGTCAAAGATGAGCTGTTTGCTAACCATAGAGCAGACAGCTGTTATGGGTCACATGCCTGGTTTATTTTCTGGAGAACATGTATATGGTGTGTGTGCATTTGTCTTTCCTGAATAAGTAGTCAATAGTGGCAGAATTTGTGCTGGTCATTCTGGTACATGGTCTACTCTAAAACTACCAGTGGTGAGAGATTATTTTTAAATGGATGTTTTCACACTCTGGTTTTAGAAGGCAATGTGGAAAACTTATAGGGGGGGAAGGGGGATGTTTTACAAGCCTGGTAAAAATAGTTGTTCTGGTTTATTTTTATTAAATACATTCCCAGAAATATATTCATATACAAAACAATGAATGGCCTTACCATCTTAAAACCAAAATGGTCTTGGATCCTTCTTTTCAGCAAAGAAATAGAAAAGTGTTTGCTGGCTGGGCTTGAAAATGTGTTGAAGATGATTTGTGGCTCATAGTTCTGCATTAGAGAAACACTGAATCTACTTTAGTCATTTCACAGAACAGGGAAAAGTTCAATGAAAGATGACAGGAGTCTAAAGATGAATTTCAACATTAGTCAAACCTAAGAATTACCAATAAACACCACGGGTATTCAAACTAATGGCTTAGAAGAAATGGTGAATTGTGTGAAGTGTGAACTGGACATGGGAATGGACTGGTGTAAGAATTCTAACTGATTCACCATTGATGCTTACATATTACTTTGGGATCTCACTAAAAGATATATGTTATGAAAGAGTAATAATATTATTATTATTATCATCCCCCTGTTTCGGCCTAAGCAATATTATAATATAGTGGAAAATAACACCTGCTTTGGCAAGCCTCCTTGTCGAGCTGGAGTTAGGGCATTCCAAACTATGTGAAAATAAACAGTGGAAAACATGGAGGAGAGTTATTAAAATCATGTGGTGGCTTTGAATAAAAGGTTCTCTGATTTCCTCTAAACCTCCTACTGTGCTTATAAAATAGATAGAGAGACCTATCTCTAGAGACATTCCAAGAGAGAGGGCGGAGAGGTCATATCCTCTGGGTGGGGGGGAATATTGCTTCCCAATGTGGGATAGTCTCTTTTTCCTACGTTGCTAACATGGAACTTTTTATCAGATCTTTGCTATGTTTCTTTCCATCTTTGTTTTTGTAATAGTATTCTGAGTACAAATAATATCTTGCTCTTGTCTTATCCATTTAGCACTGTAAGACAGGACAAGAGTACTTTCAAGGAGTAATTACATTTCCTGTTGATTTTAGATGGATGCCAGCAACTCAGTCTTTAATTTCAGATGTATTGTTGACATAGTTATTTCCTTTTCCCATATCAACATGATCTGTCCTAGTTTTTAAATAGGGCATTCTTTTCTCCCAATGAATATATAACTGTATTCCAGTGAGATTTCAAGTTTTTGCAGTACAGTGCTTGTCAAAACACTGCAGCTCATCATTTTAATAGTCCTTTTACATGAGACTGCCTGAGAATAAATGAGAAGGAATTTTCCCTGGGTAAAAATGATAGATTTAATCTCAATCCATTAAATATTCTCTTTAGCTCCATTCTAAGTTGATACCTTTTGGTTTAAAGGGTACAAGATGAATATGTTTTAAGTCAATCTTTCAGTTAAAAAATATTTTTAGGATGTGCTATTTAGAAATAAACTTAACTTTTTGCTAGGATTGTCTTGTTTCAAAGATTTTGATAAGGTGCTCTCTTTTTCTGCCAATGTAAAGGTGGCTTGACAAATTAATGATAAACATCTTGAATAGCTACTTGAAAAATAATTGAGAATGGCAATTGGTCTAAGTTACATGTATTCAAAGAGGGGAGGGATTCACTTTGTTCAGGCTACAATGAGACTGGAAAGCTTGGAAGAAAAGTGAACGAAGTTGCTTAATGTTGTGTGTTCAAATCTATTTCTGTGTGGTTGCTTTCAGGGAGACAAAACAGTAAAGAAAAATCTATAGATTCAAGAGTGAACTTTTGTACTATCATGCTAGTAAAACTTGTTTCAGCCACCATGACCCAACAAAGGCACACTATACAGAGCAAATCAAACATCTGCTTATAGGGGGTTGAAGGAAGCAGGTTCAAATTCAGATAGAACAGAACCGAACCTGCTTTGGAAACGCACCCCATATACTGCCTCTGTTTAACAGCACTCTACTTGAACAGACATGATTGGCCAGACATTGGCTGAATCATCACTGCCAGCAACTTTTGTCTGAATGTTTATAATTTTGCAACTTTGCAGAGTGTTATCAATCTAATGACATTTATTTTAAAATACAATTAAGCAACAAAAGTGCAATTAATCTGGTGTCATCACTGGGTCAGGAAACAAGTTGTTTTGTTAGGAGGTACATTTTCACACCACTGGATGGAGTTCTGATTAAAAATCTCTACAAGTTTAATTCAGCCTTGCAAATATGGACATTTAACAGCCGAGTCATGTTTTTATAAGGTATGTTCTTCTGAGCAAGTACACTGGTTACAATATTACTGACATTTCACTAATTTATTAAATGGTATTGTAAAAATATTAGTAATCTCCTGTTTGTTATAATTAGTATAATGAGGTTATTTCACATTTTCAAGCTTTCTGGAACTGTGCAATCCAAGTTTTTGTGTCATTTTGAGATGTGCCCTCCTCTTTAACATTCAATGTGGTATCGCTGAGTTAACTGGAGACTCCCTCAATTTAAAATCCATTTTGAAACACTCTATGAGTACAGCATAGCAAAGAATATATGTTACCTGACCTTTGACATGGAATCACCTTAGAAATAAATGTAGCTATAAATCTTTTTGGCATGTTTCTTTCTGCCTAAGAGATCTGTGAAATACCATCATTTCTCTTATCAGGGTTTGATATCTCAGCATCCTCAGAAACCAATCAATATTTGTCATCTCAGTCCTACAAGCTCAGTTCAACTTAAAGAATGGGGTGAAAGTTCACATGGCTAGGATTTCTACTATTTCTTAGCGTAAAAGAAACATGCACATCGTGCCGCAAAGTCGTGAAAACTATGCCGGGTTTTACATTTAAGCATGTCACTGCACCATCTGGCTAGGATTTGTGAACTGCAAGAGTATTCTGAAGTTGGGTTAATCAAAGAAACATTTGTCAAGCACCTCTGCTATAGGACAGCCCTGAAATGAATAGGAATGAGGGACAGAAGTGGACAATACCCTCAGGGAGCCCAGATCTGATGGAAGGCTTGAAGGTAAGCAATTATAATTCAGAGTGACAGGAGCTCTTTGGAGAGGTCTGTACCAAGTGCTGGCAAGCTACCGTGCAGAGCATCACCCAGGACGTTGTGTCTGAGTTGGTCTTAAAAGATGAAGGACTCTAGGCAGCCATAAAGACAAGACACTCAAGGCAGGAAACAAGTATGCATAAAGAACCTGGAGTACAAAAGAATATGGTATGTCTTGGGACTAGAAAGTGGTTCTGTAAGGCTCAAGTGCTGTGGTTCGAGGCAAACGGTTTCAGGAGATGACAGGTGGGAAGCTGCTGGGACATAGAGGGACCCAGTTGCCTTTATCTCTGCGCCTTTAGCACAGGGCCTGACAAATGCCAGGTTCTCAGAAAATGTGCATGGGATCCCTGGAGTGTAATTCCTTGCATACAAAGGCTCCTAGCCTTACCGAGAAAGTAGTATGTACACAGTGAATATCTGATAAGTCAGTAATTATTTATTAATAATAAGAAAATACCAAGTCTACAGCCTCTGCAAGTAAAATTATATTCTTCTAGATAAAACTTCTAAGGTCACAAAGTCTGCCCTGAAAAGGCAATTTTTGACCCTAATGTCACGGGTTTCAAAACTACCTTGTAGTTTTTATGAACAGCTCTTAAGGGTATCTATACTATTTTTCTTTCAAAGGGCACGTGAACTTCAAAGTTACCATTGGAAATTGATCCTAAGCACTTGCTTTAAATGGTTTTATAGCTTCTAATTTAATAAAAACAAAACCATAAATAATCAGTTTGGTGGTTTTCTGATTATTAAGTGCATTTTCTTAGAGATTGGCATTCAGGACAGATTTTGTCTTTTAGGCGCCAAGTTTGCATTTGAAAAGAAAACAGCATATGTCCTAAACCAAGGTCAGTTAATCTCTATAATCTTTCTTCCTCCCAATTACTGTGAATGAGCATCTTCTCAGAAGTCAAGTGACCGTGAAGATTCTCCACTAAAGACATGTCTCAGCTTCGCAGAATTTGTTTTTTTTTTTGGCTGTACAATGGAACTTGGATGCATTTTAAATTACTAGGAATCAAAGGTAATCATTATTTCTCTTTATGATCCACATGAATATTCTCATTATTTTTTGTCTTTTCAAGTTTATTAGTTTTGAATTCTCTTTATATCTCTGTCCTCTTTCAGAGTAACCTCTGAGGACCCCCAGCTTGTGCAAAGAGGATTGAGGAGATGTCTCCAAAGGCTGTTCTTCCTGAGCTGACTCAAACCCTTAGAAGAACATGACAGGAATCAGCAATCCCACTTTCCGTAAGTGTTGGCCCAAGTATTCGTTATGACCTTGTGTGTGCTGTTGCTTTTCTCTGGCCAAGAATAAGGAAAACTAGACCAGGGTCCTAACCCTGGCTCTGATACTTGAGGCAGCGTAAGCTTCATCACCTCATGGACCTTTGTGATTTTGGATAAGTCATGTCCCATCTGATCTTCAGTTTCCTCTTGTGAAAGATGGAGCCAGCTTTCTTTGATGGGACACCATGGAGATGGCATGGAATCATGTAACTAAAAGCCCTCCTTTATAAAGGGTTGTACATACATGTGGTAGCATTGTTAGTCCCTGCTCATCTCTCTGTTTTAATTGGCTCTCCTTTCTCTTCTTTTTTTATGGTTACATTT